CCAATTCGAAACTCACTTTAAGCTGCGCTGGAACTGTGTCCAGTCCTTCAGCGAAGTCAAGAATCTGGTCGACTAGGCTCTTGAACCCCAGCGGAGCATCCTTGTCGATATCTGAGTCCCTGAAGGCGCGGAAGTCGATGGAGCTTGGAATGGTCCGTAGCATTGCTCGCTTCGACGGACTGGCTGGTGCTGATCTTCGTGATCGCTTGGAGCCCGAAGATATAAGAGACATGGACGATGACGACGCGGCCGAAGACCGTGGCGAGCCTGATGCTAACGTCTCCGGCGCGCCGCCAAAGTCAGGGCGCTGCGCTGAAGGAGCTGATTGCGACGGCCGGCCGGGCAGCGCTGCGCGAGGGGTCGCTTCGGCATCAGGGCCGGTCAATTCGCCATCGCTCGCCGTCATGTTGTGCGAGATTCCTACGTTGTTGCTAAATTCCGGTCTTGATACTGATTCTCTACAGGCCCCACGCCGACGCTTGGGAAGGATGGATGACTCTGGCTCGGGTGTTGGGTATGGTCGTTTTTGTGCTTTGCCCAAGCTCCTGGGCTTCAGCGGGTCGCCGTCGCAGGTCAGTTGAGATTCTTCAATCCAGCGCTGTATGCTAGCAGGGTCGAACATGCTTCATGTTGGCTTGTCCGTGGAGGGGTGGTTCATTGACTATGTCAGTGGGTGACGCCCAAGACTCATTTGTCACATGCTCGTTGCCTAGGCGACGTGGCTGATCTTGGCGCTAAAAATCGAGGAGCAGACACGAGAGGTGCCGAGCCATCTCAGCTCGTCTTGGCAGAGAGTCCAAGCGTTCTTTGTCATATGAGTACCTACAGTCCCTTCTCGTTATAGCGATTGTTTCTATCCACCACTTCGGTATCGTTATATCGTGATTATCGTTCAATCGAAGACTCTTGGCATTGTATACGCTATACGAAGTAGCTAGTTATTTGCGCTTGACGAAGGCTTCTATTCCGTCGATCTTGTAGCACTACCTCGTGCTTGCTCAGCTGCTCGATAACCGGCACGGAAGCCTCGCTCTGCTGCTCTTCGTACAGTCGTAGTAGCTGCAAGGCTTCGATAGCTGATCGGATTGGTACAGGTGGTAGCTCTTCGAGCTCCTCCTCTGACTCGTGGTCTTCTTGTGAATCAAATTAAGCAGCTATCTCTTCCTCTATTCGATCGGTTACTGCAAGGCTCTGAATAGCTTCCTTAGCTGGATCGAGAAAGCTTTCAATTGATATGGCTGACTGAATTCGCTGCTGCTGCTGAAGCTGGTTTATAAGGCTACCAACTTCAGTGATCACTTCTTTGGTTTCTACACTATCCTGCTGTGTAGAAGGACTTAGAATAAGCGTTGAGTGGTACTAGCAGTTAGTGATAGTAGCTTCTGAAATAGTCTGCCATGCTTGTATTGACTAGCGAATAGCTTTTAGTATATTGGTTGTTTTGAGAGGATTTTTACTAGCTCCAAATTGATCAACCATATACAATAGCTAGCGCTTGCGGTAGTGAGCTTTCCAAGCACGGATAATACCTTGATCTAGTGGCTGATACTTTGATGTAGCATTTAGTAGAAGCCAGCAAATGGCTGTATCTTGTAGAGGCATCAATCTGATAGCTTCTACAGCAGCTGTATGAGCTAAAAAGTTGTCCATTAGTAGAAGGACCTTCCGGCCACTGACTTGCTGATCAAACCAGTGGAGCCACTCAATCATAATATTACTCTTCATCCATGCTTTGCCATTATGCCGCTAGTAGCAGCTAAGCGAATTGATATTAACATTAGCAGCACCAAAAGCTCGAGGCTTCTTGTGCTTACCAATAAAGTAGAGGGGGAGCTTATAGCTACCATCTACATTGCAGCAGAAGTAGACAGTAATTCGGGCCTTTTCAAGCTTTGTATCAGCGATAACTTGTGTAGCTTGGCCTCTGTTAGGAGTAATCTTCCAAAAGAGGCCGGGTTCATCGCAATTGTATGTGCTGGAAGGGTGGAATTGAGAGGCTATTGCCTATATAGCGACTAGCTGCTCAGCAATTAAAGTCTCGTCAATTAACGAGGCTTCGCCATGTCGAATTCTCTCTGTAATGCCATGCCTCTTCTTGAATTTATCGAGCCAGCCAGTACTAAATTGAGGTACCTCCATGTCGCGATAGATCGGTAGTCGATGCCAGAAGCGAAGCGCAGCAGCTTTAAGAAGCTCGTTCGATATTGGTACTTGAGTTTCAATCTGAAGCTGCCACTCGTAGAGGCATGCCTCAAGCTCTAGCCAGTGCTGCGTGCGAAGCCTCTTCTAAGAGGAGCCCTCGCTGTTCTGCTCCTTGTCAAGATCGCTGAAGCGCGCTAAGAGGCTCTCAGAGATGGTTCCTTGAGACGGTCGATGGCCAAATTACTGTTCGAACCAGCTAGCTAGCTGTAGCTGATTGAGTGCGCGGTGCTGCTGCGCACAGCGACGAAGAGCTCTACGCTGCTCAGTGGTAATCGCGCGTCGCCGGCGAGGCTCCATGGCGTGTTCGATATAGCGATAATTGGCTCTGGGAACAGCGGTATGTCGAGAAGGTGAGAAATAGCGATAATTGTATGAGGAATTTGATGATTGACGAAAAACAATCGCTCAATCGAGAATATCGTTGTACAGATGATTGCTATAACGAGAAGGGACTGTAATACCTAGTAGTAGAGATGAGACGGCGTCACGGATCAGAGTCGGACTCTTTCTGTCATACCTTCCGATGGTGTCAAAGAGGGTTCGTTGATCTATGCTGCCACGACGTGCCGATTCGTTCAAGACTCAGACTTTAACCCAAAGGATCAATTGAACTAAACCCGCTGTTCTCGGCCCACCCTCAATATTAATCAGAGAGTCGGATGAGACGTAGTCGTCCCCAAGTCTGGGTTACTTAGCAAACTAACGTATGCAAGCCTCTTTTTCCATCCATGAGTCTGTGTCTTCTTCTCTGATTTTTGACCACGAAGATACGCAAAAACGTTGTGAGCGGCTTTCAGGATGTTGAAAGTTGGTTGGCGTTCGCTCTTTCTATGGCTCGCGAAGCTGGCGGTACAGTGCGATGAAGATTCAAATGAGAATGCAGGTGAAGCTGAGACAGGCCGAGAGATATCTCTTCCGAGCGAGATCGAACGAGGATAACAGGCAGGCGCATCTTTCTTAATTTTCACATCTCGCCTTCGTTTATCTATCGGAAAAGTGCGAACAAGATTAGAGGGATGATTGCTGGCTTGGCAGTAGTGTTTTGGCAGGAAGTGGAGAAAGCTTCGAGATTCCCGTCCCTTGTGTGCACATGGAGCTCCTCTACTCGAGTATTCTGGCTTCGAATTCCTCTCTTCTATGTTCATCGTCTATGGTCTCCATCAGATCCTACGCATCATCCAATTGACTTCCGCACATCAACTCCAGTCAAGTTCGTCGTCATGCTGCCCTAAGGTGCCTCTTACAGTGTGGACTGGATCATTTCAAACACTTCAAATGAGTTCACTCTCGGTCAAAATGTGGAGCCAATCGTCCGAAATAGAAGCAACAAAGTGATCGATCTAATTGTCCCCTCGACGGGCTGGAAGTTGTTCTTAGAAGGTCAGTCGCAGACACAGAGCAGCTTGGATTCGAACAGGCTGTACCATTTTCATACTTCTTGGCCGAACGAGGAGATTGAAAAATACAACAAATTCTTACAGGGTCTCACACTAGATATTTGAGCGAGTCCGACCACGAATCACAACTCACGACCGAGGAGAAAGAGTTCTTGAAACAATACCATGGCAACTAGTTCAGGTTCTTGGTGTCACACGAATTGTCCATTTACAAGGAAGATGATCAAGGAGAAGGACGACGCATCATTAGAGCTCTCATGTCGAACTGTGATATTGAGGCAGATGCTCTTGAAGACTCTGACGATGATGGTCAATCTGTTGGAAGTGACGACTTCCTCAATGACATGGAAGAAGATCCGACCTCCCATGTAGCCGATTACAAGTTCAGTGCCGGTTGACTGGGCTTCCTTGAGGCCCATTACGGTTACTCTGGCTGTTCCATGCGTTATTACGGCCTCAAACCTTGGGATGACAATGACTGTGACGAAGCAGTCAGCATGATGAAGGTTTTGATGGCCGAAGCCACAGACGAGGTTTGGGAGTAGGGTGTTCTAAGGAGTTCTTGGACAAACGAGAAGCAAGAAAAAAGGTAGGAATGTAGAGATTAGGAGGTGGATGAGAGAAGTTTCTGAAGAACGAGAGGTCATGGAGGTTTGCCCTAAACGGCCCTCACATGGTGTGCTAGCCTTGTAAGTCGCCTGAGGCTCGACTAATCCTCACTACAGGGCGATTCCTGTCGCAATCACTCAGCTGCTCATCCACATCGAAGCTTTCGAAGAGAACTGCCTGTCGCTCATGCAGTGCGCGTCGGCAATCGATTCGGCAAAGGCAACATGCTCATGTCACAAAGCTGCCGCCAGAGATTATTGTCATGGTCGAGCGTCGACTACTCCGACAGCGCCTCCAGATGCCGTTATTCCACGGATCTCCGAGCTGGCCATCCAGATACTGTTGCTTCGAGAGTTCCTTTCGCCCCATGGATCATGTCGATGAACGCGAGGAAGGCAAACGACAAAGTCTACTTAACCGTGCTGTCGCCAAAGTCCGCGCCAGGAACCCACACATAAACACTCTTGTCGACACTACAATCGAGAAGAGTTCGAAGCCTTGGTCGATGAAGCTTTCTCCGAGATCTGTGACGGAGAGCGCCTCGATTTGTCTACACGTAAATGGTTCGGCATTCAAGGCTGGAACGCGGCGATGAAAGACGACATGGATGGAGAGCTGCCACACTATCGCAAGGTGAGCAATCCATCGTACATGACATGCTTGCATCTGATCCTATCTATCAGTTGCTGCACCAATACTTTGGCCTAGAATTTTTTTGTCATGCATGAGAACATGGACATTCAGACTGGCAGATACCTGCAGAGAAGAGACAGCCGCGTTCTCGAGTCTCGCTTGCCTAACCAAATCACCATCTGTTATCTCACTTTCCCTTCGACGCGCGCCGTCACACACCGTGATCGACTACGGCTGCGGCGATTCTGGCTATGCCGCAGGCACCTCGGGGAAGTCCATGGTCGTCCAGCCTGAACCACTACAACTGACAGAATCACTCACCAGGTGTTTTGCCAAGTGTATAGGGGCATTGAACCTGGAACCCTTCGTCCATCCCTTACAACTGCGCAACAGCCTGGGTCCATCCTCAGCTCAGGAACCTCCATAAGTCGTGCCTAGTTCTCACCAGTTCCAAACAAGAAGAGCCCCGGAACAGATCGATGAGGATGATGCAAAGATCGAGTCATCGTTGAAAGGTATGTTGTTTTTCGAAGTTTGTACTGCACTGGAGTCTGGCTAATAACTGTTACCGAGATTTGGAGCTTGGTCATTGGCCCAAACTGGTCATCCTGACTAAGGAGCGATTCGATATCAACGGCATACCAGTGTCAGGATCCTAGTTCTCGACGCGGATCTCTTCGCTGCGAAGAATGATACTTGATAAACATGCCCCAGCACACCTATTACCAGACACATGCCATCCGTCTAACATGCCTCTACAGTATGTCTCACTGAGGACTACTATACGGTAGCCTAATTGCTCTGAAGCTGCCCAGAGTATTGTCGTCATGCTCTGTGCTCCCACCAAGTCTATTCCTTCTGAACTCAGACGGTCAAGGCCTGCTCGCATCGAGTAGAAATCATTGGCAGTTTCTATTCTTGTTTTCACTTCACTGGTCTGACTTACAACTGTGGCTGCTTGCTTTCTCAATTCAGTATATCTGTTCCACTGTCTATGTTCCGAGTTTTGTGTGCATAACATCACAGCCTCCAATCAAACAAACATGTCCGGCAATGGCAGACGCAACTCGAGAATATGACATCTTACCAAAACAAATTCCATGCACAACCCAGCTCAGGCTGCAATTGTGCCTGTCTGCATTGGGCTAGCGCCTTGCCTCAGGCGGCGCCCGCTTCCCTCAGCACCATCGCACACGTCCAAACCATGACGCTTTCGGCATCGTCGTCGCTTTCGACTCACCCACAACACAGACTCCTCTGGCTGTCAAGCGCATTGAAGGATGCAGACTTATCTTACATGCACCGAAACTTGCGTACCCGGAAATCTGGAACCTGATCTGACAGCCGTCGTGTCGCTTCGACACACCGCAAGCATCCCACACCATCCAGAAGCCTAGACGCATTCGGTCCTGACCAACCTACCTGATAGGATCACCTTGAACATCCTCGCAACGCACCAGTGCGCCCGACGATATGACCGAGGTCTGTTTGTGTGGTGCCAATCAAGAGCTAGAGACAGGGCGGATCCTTGAGTCTGTATAGAACACTGCACAGGGAGGCACAGTCATGAACGAGCCCGTCGTTACCACTCGAACTTGACCAACCGAGTCGTTCTTTGTCTCGTTAGCGTCGACTCGATTCTTTTTCTCGGCCAATCATCTCCATCCGGTCCAACCTTTCGACGCCTCGTCATCCGGACTTTCTCTAGGCCAGCCTTCCTCCTCGGAGTGATCCGCGTCCCGGCTATGTTCCATCGACTAGCTGGGGGCAGCTACAGGCCACCTATAGCATCGGGCCTGCAACAGAGCATTTTCTACCGGAAACAGGAACCTCGCCTATTCGTCAAGATCATCGTCGACGTTTACCTGCCTTGGAATCCTGCATGTCAAGCGGGTGGTAGAAGCAAGGGCTGTACGACTTCTCATAAGAGGAAGAGGGCGGGTTGTCGTGAGCTATACGGCAGTGAATACCTATGGCTAGCAATTGGTGGCAGGAGTCTTCGCGTCTCTACTGTGTTCATGGTGTTGCGTTGCCGAAACTCTGGCAGACTGCAAGCACCTGCTCCAGCAGAAGAGACATGACCCTGTAGGTTACCGCAACGAGTGCACTATTGTACAGCTCGTCTGGTCACCAAAGGCTTTGGCGATATTACATGGCTACTGATCCTTGCACCATTGGCAGATCAAAAACCACCGATTTACTATCTGTCCTGACTGATAGGTGGATCTTCGTCAGCGAGATGACCAACAGTTGTGGCACTATCACTAGCAGACTATACAACACTCAGCTGGGAGTATGCATTACGTTGCGGCATGGCCATGCGACTTGACTTGGTCTACGGAGAACACACGCCGAGCACGTGTGACAAGGACGATAGCGTAAGTGGTCATGCATTCGTGAGTTCCTTCTCCCAAGACAGGACATCGTCTA